GTTGACCTTGACTTGATAAAAGCTTAACAAAACAAATGTTAATGAATTAATGTAAATAAAATCAGAAACCAATCTTGGGGAATCGTGGATCCCCAACACAAGCTCCACCTGATTCTATCTTTTCAATGCTGAGGTGTTTTGGACGATTAGCATTGCTATTACTGGTAGCAATTCACACGCACAGAGATATTGTCCACAAAATTTTAAGTTTGCTGGCCCCAAGAAATAGTGTTTTGTTCGTCTGAAGCTTCAATCAAAGCTTAGATTGCACTGTGATCACCTTTTTCTTTGTGTAAAGCTTTTATCTTTCCTCAACATACGGCCCCTGCCCACAAATCGACGTTTTTGGTGGCTTAAATATCCTGTGGTGCATATTTAGCATCGAAATCTCCCTTTGGAAATAGCGGGACCCATGCTGAATGCCAGATCATTCCCAGTGTCGTTATAGCCTAAGAATCGCAAATTCCCTACAATGGAAACCACTTTATTTTCCTAAAATTTTCTCTTAATAATGACATATTTAAAATATGCACTGAACTACATTAACAGCAACAGTAGTTCAAAAGGACAAACATGTTTGTTTGTGTTGTGTTGAAAAAAGGATAAGTTAATGTCGCACCCCATTAAGCCGAAATCCTGACTTTCAGCATGATCACTCAGCACAAGCACCTACTGGAAAATAATTCGAAGGTTTTATGGAGAATAAATAAATGTAAGTAGGTTCCAGCCAATCACGCTACAAGTAGATTGCTCTGCTCAAACTTTAAAGTATAATCCTAAAGCTTCATGCTTTCTTCGAGGTGAATTTAACCCACATCGGAGGCAGTTTCTCTGTTCTGCCGAAGGACTGCATTCACGTCGTGACGCCGGACTCCGACGACCTGCTGGAGGTCAATGTGACCAAAGTTCAGGGACCGCTGTACGCTCAACTCGTCAACCTCCGTGATCCCACTCGTCCAGTGCTCAGCTTCCATATTGCTGAGCTTCGCAAAGGCCTCGTCGCCCTTCAACTACTCAACTACGCAGAAATGGCAGAAAAGGTATGCGTCATGTGTCGCGGCGCAATATGCGTGTGAGTGTGTGTGCGTGTGAAATAGTAGTCCAGAAGGGACATTTGGCGAAAGAGTTATAAATCGCACATTACAGTAGTTTTTTGATTCCACTGTGAGTATCAAGTGTCCTCGTGTGTGATATAATGTGCAATTTTTTCATAGTTAATACCAGAAGAACATAATTACATGGTAATTGGTGAGGAAGCGTAAAAAATGCACTTTGCGGATGAGTAAAGGGGTTCTTGAGACGCCATATATCACTAGTTACCCAACAAAGATGAAGTGGGTGGAAGGACAGAGAGTCAACCGTTTATTCGAGAACTTGGCGAAGCCGTGGTGGTGTGTGGGGTTTGTGCGTGTGTATTTATACCTCGGATGTGTGAGTCATAACTGCGCTAACATCAAGACCTAGGTGTGAGGGCAATCCAAGATAAATGTTCGTGTGAATGAAGAGGGAGTTGAGGATTTCAGCGGCTGGTGCCATGCTGCGAGAAAGAGGAGCCCTGTGTCGGAAGGAAAGCGATCGGATTAAGGGGTTGAATAAACACGATTCACAACAGCTCTCTCCTTTAGAGAGAGGATTTGGCGAACCTTGTCATCTGCTGGGGTTTTGGTGGGCAGGTTGTCAAAGAACCTGAAATGGAGCCAAAAAAAATTTTGAGATCGAGAAGGACCGCACGCCACGCACGATGGACAGTATCCTATCTGTCCTGCGGTTGTCTTCCCTTCAAGCTGAATATCGATCGGGCCAATGAACGCATCTGCCGGAGTGTGTCGTGGTTACAGCCTTTTTATTGTCGTGAGAGACGGAATTTGGTTGCAACTGAGGCTTATTGTATGGCGAGGTATCCATGTCGAGGAAGGCTAGCTTGAGTCGGTCGACAGACACGGCGTCTTCTTTCCCATTGTGGTCACCGATGAGGTCAGCTGGTCGTTGCCAGAAGGCAATCTGAAAAATTTCACCAAGTCGATCAAATCAGAACAACCTGGTTTTGGGGGTTGACCTCCAAATGACTCGACAACAATCCGAGCAGCTTATTAAACTTGACATGGACTCACTCACCAACTTGTCGACGTTATGCACACTAGAACTTTTGTTAATCGAGTCGAAATCGGTCATATAGGCGATTCCTGGCTACGAAGGTGCGGAACAGATGATTGCATCAAGATTTTGTGAAAATGCGTGTATCGAATCTCCAGATAAATGCGCTAACAGAGTCTAAAAAAGCCGGACTCAAACAGTCCGAAAATGCTGTCACGCATTTCTTTTCAATGTGTTGCATTGGTTCAGGCATTACAGAAACAAATGGCCACCTATAACCTCCTCATTAACACCCCCAAGTGGATAAAAGGGTGCTTTCTATTGAATTTTAAATCACTTTCAAGTTCTGCTTAGTCAGTTGACAGTGTATTTGCTTTTGAAAGAAATTTCTTTCTTTAAGGAGTTATTGAATGCCAAGGTGTAGGACTTTTTTGTCTGAAGCCAAATTTGACAGATAGTTAACCTATAAAAGTACTTTTAGTGGGTAAATTAGTGCACCATTTTAGGTTCCTGAGGAATGCATCAACATAACCCCTCCGCCGCGCTTATTTGCTTTCCTGTCTTCCAAGCAGAAACTGCCTAATCATCACATCAAGTGCTGGTGACAGACATTTAAGTTTTGGAATGCGCATTTTAGGAAATAATTTGTACTAATCCAATCGGTCATTACTGCGTGTGACTGAACAAATAGGCCACACGATTCCGGTTAAAGCGTACTTCAAAATGTGTAATTTGACCTTGCTTTAGCTTTTTTCTGATGGACAAAACAGACTTAACCTTAAAGGTTCAGTGGCCACTTAAATTACGCATGCAGTGAAATGCGACAAACAAACTCAGAGTGCCCAAGACTAGGTCAGGAGTCTGAGGGCCTGTGTACGCTTAAATTTTTTTGTCCATCAAGATTGTATCACAGAACCTTAAGTTGTGGATGGTTGTACCAACTCGAATTGTCGTAAGATAAATCCACTAGGTGTTACGAACACTATTTTAAACTGTTATAAGCCTCCGAGCTCGTTCTTTCTCCCACCTCCAAACCACTTTATTATGTGCTTGGCTTACTCAAGCAGAAGGCTCTTGTATTATCGTGACAAGCATCGTACCTGTTACCAAAAAAGGTAAAAGTCTTTCATGTAACCGAAATCGGTCCTGTTTACTGAAATTTTTAAACATCCATAAGTGCGACGTTCCAGTGTTGGTGTGTCCTGCTAGCCAAAGACCCCGATCTCTCGAATGCCCTTTCGAAAAGAAGAAACTCTTGATAATCGTGGTCTCCCACCGGCTCGAATGCCATAATCAATTAATCATGCAGCACGCACTGAGTTTGCAGTTTTTTTAACGTGATGTGCGAGGGGAAGTCGGAAGGCGATAATACGGGGATGGGATGGGCGGGGGGAGAGGACACAATCAATCTCAGTCGCCGTTTTTTTCACGGTAGCACAAAAAAAGAACCAAGAGGGACTTGAAAGGTCGCCGCCTGCCTGTTATGTGCTTTTTAATCCCACCTAAGAAGATGTTGCTAGAAGCTTCTGGCCCTTTCGGAGGGACAGTTTCTAAACTACCGAACCAGTCCACATAAACCGATTCTTGTAATCATTTGGTGTGAGAGCCTCTGATTGGTGGTCGGTGGTAGAACTTACATCAAAGGCATTTCTCATAAGAGTAAGGGAATTTCTTCACCGATAATTTGGACGGGAGACTATTCACTCAGATGATTCTTTCTAATTTGTCTGTTTGAGAAACCAGTTAGTATCGATGCGATGTTTGTGGAACATATTCACTTCAACATCATTCCAGTAAGTTGTGGTAGCGTGTACAAGTTCGGCCACACGCCTTCTATTGCAACTTCACCAGAATCATCGTGGATAGTGCGTCGGCTGGCTGGATGGAGATATCACACAGTGACTTAAGGCGTTTTGGCTCACTGAAAAATAACCACTTGCCAATGCGTTCCTTTTGAGTCAACTGGTTATTGCACTTGCCTTCTTAATTGATTGAGAGGCCGCAGCTGGCAGCGCTTTAATGTCCCAATCCCCAACGGCATTACAATTTGACCTCCAATGCGTGTCCACTTCAACGCCAAACGGGATCAAGTCATCAAGACGCTAGCTGACCTCTTAAAGCCTTTTGCTGTTGGGTTTATCATTAAACCTTTTGTATTCAATGGGGCAACAAACGTTTCGGCAAGTGGTTTTATCCCCCGAACTGTGGTTCAGTGTTAAATTTAGCCCAGGTGGTGTCACAGGATGCGTGGGACCGGTTTTCATCCTATTTGTTTGTTAGCTTGTGTGAAGAAACAGCAGTAAATGAAGTACCAGTTGATAGACGGCTTTACGACCAAAGAACCCAAAAAGGCGCTACAGCAGGAAGGGGGATACAGACGCTTATTAACCCCTCCCGGGGGGAAGGAATTAAATGGAGACTTTTGAACAGAGGCCAATGAAAGGCAGAGCTAAGTCACAAACACCAATCAACTTGCAGTAAAGCTATTCGGACAATTTACCACTAAAATGGTTCCACTTACGGTTCATTACAGATCTGCAATTAAAATTCATTGTCATGCAACTGTGTGAAACTTGAATATCGCAAGACAGCCAGCGGTTTCGGATAGTAGACTCAAAGCACACTTGACTTCCCCGGTCAAAGGAGTCTTTGAATAAAAAAGTGCAGCGAATTGCGATTGCCAACTAACTGCTGCAAAGTACCTCACTCCAATTTGTGTGTCGCTTGCCTGCTGCAAGTGCAACTGTCTGGGGGCTCATTTCGCGTGCTTTAGTCGCCTGGACCTCCTGCTGAGTCACCAACGGGGTCGAGAGGTCAGCTGAGGCGCGCTGCTGCAAACGCGACCCTCCCCTGTCCCACCCACCCACCACACCACATCACACGGGCTTAAATAAACACACGCGAAAAGCCAAGGTGACGAGGAAAGCCATTAAGTTAAAACGGCAATAATTTAACGCCAAGTTATAATGCCGCATTTGTATGCAATATTTTCGGCACAATTTCGCCCTAAATGCGCTACGGCGTTGGCGAATCAGCGGCACGATCACTGACCCGCTGTAATGATCCATTATTGTAATCTCAATATAGAAGACTTCTTGGTGCGTGACAGTTGGTTTACTGCTTTGACCGTTCGCACATTCAAAAATATCAACCTACGGATTTTTCACATAAATAGCTCATTGAGGGCAATCAATTAGTTTGAAATGTAGAAAAACCAGACACATCTGGGTAAATTCTGGAGGACTAACATGGACGATTGTTTTAACACAAATTTTCACAGAAACAACGCATCTGTTGATCACTACCAATAAGAGAACCAGTCAATGATTTGCAGTAAATCTGTTTCCATTTTACACTCAGATGGAGATGAATACAGTCCAGAATAATTTCAGTGTTAATTGTCTATTTTATACATGAAATTCGTGCTTTGAAGGAATCTGGAAAAGAATCTAACTGGTTGCATGCATTACCTTTCACCCTTAGATATTCACTTTGACACTGGTTGCAATTAATCCCTTCATGCAAGTTAGCGAACCGGTTTCCCTGCGTCTCGTCAGCACCCTCCAGCCAGTGTTTCCTGCGATGGGGTTCGCGAATGAGAGGAAGCCCTTCGTCTTTCAGGTCTTCTCTCTCCCACTCTTCTCCTACACCGGCGCCTTGAGCATCGTTCAAAAGTACAACCTTCAGGTGCGCGATCCGTCTCGTTGATTAGCTGCGAATTTCGTCTTATCTGAAAGAAGGCTTTAATGCGATAACTGTTCCGTCAGATTGTCAACTTATTTTGCACTATTATTACGCCCTACTCAATGGTGTTTTGTAGACTTCAGTTGTTATCTTAAGCCAGTTAAAAAAAAACTCCGGAAAGTTGTCTCATCAGCAAGTCCTCTGGGAATTTACCAGAGGACCTAGAACTAAATGTCTGGACTCATTTGCTAGTAAAACGATTCACCGAGCTCGATTGTTTACTTTCTAAATGAAGTTAACCAGCAGATTTATCAGCCAAAATAGGCAACTCCAACGAAATCTGCACCTTCTATATGAACCAAAATCATTTATTTTGTAGAAATATAACCACTGCAATTTCGCGTTATGATTTAGTAGTAAGATCAGAGTCAAATGCATACTTCTGCTGGGACTCGAACTCAGAATGTGCAAGTTTTTCAATAATCTGAAACGAAGCACTTTGGAAACACTTTAGTGGTCTTAACGTACAAATTGCTGGAGATATTGTGCGTCCAACTATCACTTTAAACTTGTAAACTTTGGTGTCCACGGCTTAGTTAAACTCGAAACAATCAAAGTGTATCAACAGAACTTGGAAACATCCAAATGCGAAAAAGAGCGTGTGGAAACGTTACGACACAAGCTGAACTAATCTTTCTGTCTTTCTTGGCTTGTGGTTTTGGCCTATTTCCGCTCACGACTACTTTAATACATCTTATTAGCTTGGGTATTCCAAGTCTCGGATGCCGTCTATTTAGCCGTTCGTGTTTTTGCATTAGGTCGTTGGATACATTGACGAGTCGGTGGTGCGCTTCCACGTCCTCGCTAACAAGGAGGAAGAAGAGTACTTTAAGCTGCCCAATGCAACCGGCACTGGTGGAGGTTACTTACGGCTGCAGGGGGTTCCTCTGATCGGGGTCCACTCCACAACATCCTGGACCCTCATTGAGATAGCCAACCAGCAGCTGATGTACGCACATCCCGGAAGTCTTCAACCCACGGTCGATCGATTCCGTCTGCGACTCACTTTAGACTCTCAACGGATGTTCTACCAACAGCTGGTGAACCGGGGACTAAGACGCAGAAGGAATGCCGGAGTTTCAGAATCGGAGCTCGAATTGCCTGTTCGTGTTGTCAGGATCTATGAGAACGTAAGTGATATGTTTCACTAGAAAGACTCTGGTTCCTAATGTGAAGATGCTACCAAGAGCATCCGGTAACAGCGTACGTGATAAGTCTCTGGAAATAGAATGACCTGCGATGTTTTTGTAGATTTTTTGGCAATCAGTTCTACCCTTCATTGATTTTGATATTGTAACGACTCGTGGAGTTAGGCATAGGCTTGAACACTAATGATAAATCAGTGATGCCCTGTAACAGAGCACGCTACATTGCTGCGTCAAACGCAGCCGGGGTCAAGGATTAAGCATAATTAAGGTGATCTCGTGGCATCTAGTAATATTTCTTTGCTCATACTTGGGTGACAAAGTGACAAAAGCACCTTTTGTAAGTCTGCGTGAAAATGGGTATCAAATGGCACCAATTCTACTCCTTATTATGCAACAAAAGTAGATCTCAAGTGCGCTAAATCAAACATTTGGCCAATTTTAAGTGAGTTTGGGACGACTTGTTGTGTTTTGACTATGACTAGCGACTTTCAGCCTACAAACACACTTACTTTCAATAAAGTGCAAAATATAGGCCATCCAGGTACTGAAGATATACCAAAATCAGACTTCATGATGGTTTTCCCAAGTATTTAACCCTAGACTCAGAATAGGTAATACTATCTGCTGTAGTCAACAGCTTTAGAGTCGTTGATAACTAAAAACAGGTGCACAACTTCTAATAATGCGTCTGTGCTATCATAAAAGCTTTTCTATAAGTTGAAAACCAAAATTCGAATCGAGAAACAGGGCTTAATCTTGGCCTCAATCTAAAATAAACTGTCCTCGTCAAAGAGTAATGGATTAATGATGAAAATAATCAATTAAGCCTCTTCTCCAACAGGCTAGAGAAAGCGCTCTAAGGACGAACGTGGCGATCAGCTTGCACCACGGCACAGCGCACTGTTTCATGTCGGAGGAGCTCATAACCCCTGAAGCCCTTCAGGCGGCGCGGTCCGATTTCGTGGACCTCAAGTTCATCGTCAAAGTGCAGCCTTCTCAAGGCGACCTCGTGCGACGGTCGTCGCTTCTCCAGACTTCTGTAAACGTGACACAAAGTCATCAACAGCTGAGCAGTCTCAGTGGATCTGATGGCGACAAGGAGGCACCTCAAATTAGCGTCGTCGGCCTTGCCGAACTGGAACGACACGACATCTGCTACTTGAGTCACCGACGTGACGCCAGGATTGACATGTTCGGCTTGAAGCAAACTGGACGAAGCGGGTTTCCTGTGGTTGCCGTTAATATTAACATTCATGTGAGCATGGCCGCACTAAATGCATACTGTTTTCATAGATTTGAAGTGTTTAATTGGTTAAATTGAGGCGAGAATAAGGAATTTGTGTACAATTAAAGAATTTTTACCCCAGAAACAAACTGTGACATGGTTTTACATTGAGTGTATCCGTATAGAACGTGTAGCTGGAGCACGGTGTACTTTTGTGGGTACAGGTCTAAGAAGGGCATTTAAATTGATGAAAGAGGTGAATGCACAACCTTCAGTGCTGACTTAGATGGTACTTGCAAAATTGATTAACTCAGTTTGTTTATTAGTAAGTGTCATCAATCATCAGAATTTCCAATAGCTGTCTAGATTTCGCGCTTGCTCTTACAATGGCATTTGTGGCCCGTCCGATCTTCAGCATGACAGATTGACCGTCAATAAGACTCGATTTTTCGCTCTTGTTAGTGTCTCATTAGATTACCTAGCCATAATGCTAGTCTATAACAGAGCAATGACCTCTGTTACTAAACAAATCTCATCACAGCCTGCATCAACTCGGGCAACGTAGTTGCCAACTTCACGAAAGGGGTGTTAAAATAAACCTTTTTATTGATGTCTACATTTTGTGTCTGCTCGATGTTACTGTCCATGCGTCAAACTCTACAAGCGACTTCTTTGACACATGGTCTTTTAACCCCATTTACAGTATTTTTGCTACCATAAAGGCCATCAATTGTTCCCAGCTATGTAATTTAGGAGACTCTGATTATAATATAGTGTGTCTCGGTGATTTACTCAGAATTTCTAAGAACTTGGGCTGAATTAGTCACTTGAGCTCAGTTTCTTCTGAGTTTAACCCAAACCGAAAATCAGACACTACAGAGATAATGAAGTCTTTTCTCCTCGCTTCCGTAATTTAAGCCTAGACCAAAGTACCAGCTGACGAAGCGCGTCGATCCCAGCCAACTCCTCGAAGTTCGGGAGACCGTCAACTTTGCCGCCATCACGTCCAATTACCTGCGCTTCGTGGTCCGCCCCACGAGGCAGTGGCTGCGTTCGTCGGCGCACAACCTGATGCCGCTCATGCCGAACGCCTCGGAAATAGTCTACACTATCACCCGCCAGCCGCGGTTCCTTGCTGGCCCCAGCAGAGACGCCGGTCGACTGGTCTCCCTGGCTGCCGCGAGCGCCAGTCAACACGAGGGCGACATGGCCCTGCGACCGGGACTGACGAGCCTGCTGCGGGAACTGGAGCCCACCGGCGTGACGCAGTTCTCCCAAGATCAAGTCAACTCCGGTGACATTGTCTACGTGCCTCCAGTGGAGGACATCGGGCCAACAGTGAGTTGTGCTGGGTACATTTACAGTTTAGTACCGAAAAGTTGAATGTTTTTGTAAGATTCATCGCTTTGCCATAACCACTGTCTAAGCCATTCTCTCTGGCCAATAAGACTTAGGTCATTTGCAAACGCAGTCACTTGGCTTGATTTTCCAACGTTCACACGTCCGACTTCTGACTCCAATAGGTTGCCTGTAATTTATGCACTGCTCCGCTTAAATCATGCCGAATTAACATTTTTATATGGACTGTTCAAACTGGGCCTCAATTTGTGCCTCTAACATTGAGAAATCAATGTGCCTTGGCGATGCGTAGCGACGTCTGAATACTACAATTTTTAAAAGATAATCTGTTATGCGTTTAGGTTAGTGTGCTTTTTAAAGAAAAGTTGTCTAAATTTGTAAGGGATTTACAAGAAATCGTGACTTTTTGTTTGTCTTCTTTTTACCCTAGAACCAAATGGCGGAATTTAGTTATACGGTTTCAGCACCGGGAATAATGGTCTTTAATAAGGAGCGATTTCGGTTCCGAGTTATTGCTGAGGATGACCAGACGCCTCTACTTGAAGTAAGCTTCACCAATTTGCACATACATCGCAGTTTTGAAGCATAACTAAAACAACTTAACATTCTTTGCAGCTTCTGAAACCTCTAGAGGTGCACAGGGATGGAGAGGTCGCAATCGATAGTGAAATTTTGCGACTCACTGATGAAGACACTCTTGTTGAAAAACTCGTCTTGCGCCTCACAAGGGCTCCCACACACGGGAACATTTTTGAGTCGGTACAAATATCCGTTTTCAACGCCACAACTAATGCGACCACCTCGAAAATGGATAGACGGAAGCTTGGCGAAGGAGAGGTTATTTCAGCCAGTCTAATTAATCTAGGCAAATTAAGGTGAGAAGTGTTGCTATAATTAAAGTACAACACTACAGTCGCACGTAAGATGTATTACTAGGGCCATCATTAAGCTCAGAATTTATACAAACTCACAGAAGTTATAACTGACAATAGAGCTGCTCTATGCAATTGTGGTATCTGCGTTAGAATTTGACTGAAGCCTTCAAAGTGAGTATTTACATGTATAATTGAATCCAATCAGTAACTTCTATTAAGATCATTGCATTCTTTCCAGGAATTCGCATCCAAAGTCTAATAACATCGAGGCTTCTTATTGAGCTTAATAATGCAGATTTACCGAATTCTGCGTCATAATCACACACGACGAAAATTCACGAAAAGGTGGCACTTAAACTGGTGAACATGAGCAAGTAGACAGGACAAGCTAGGAATTAAGGGGAACCTTCCAAATTTCACTCATCTTGTGGCAATTTGCCGTAACCTTCATTTTAGTTACATTCAAGACGGGTCAAACGTAAAAGAGGACTCCTTCAATTTGACGGCTTCGGACGGCTATCAGGAGTCCGTGCCCCTCAAACTCAAGGTCACCATTCGACCCCGCGTACTATCTGAGCCGGTGTGGAACCTTCTCGTGAACAACAGCATCCTCGTCGAAGAGAACTCCACCGTCATCCTCCACCCGTCAGTCTTCCCTCCGCTCACCCCCCCACCAATGGGCGGTGCCCGGTTCTTCGTCGTCGTGCCTCCCACGAAGGGCAAACTCGTGCTCGACAAACGATGCAAAATGTCCCAGTTCTCGACCAACGATGTGGCCAACAGCCGCATCGCCTACCGTCATGGACCCACGGAAATCGGCACGGACGCGAAGTTCGACCTTGTGAGGGTGTGGGACTTCAAAACGGGGAATATTTTCTCCCTGAATTTTACACTTTTGCCCATCAACAGTCAACCACCAACAATTACAGCCGTCACACCACTTCAGGTAAGCACAAAATCCCCTACATTGTAGCAGTGTGTCAAGTCAGCAAAGTCGCATAACTCTGAACGACGCACTTTCAAAGGTGCTTAGTAAATTTTATGCACAATTTGGTATGGAAGCCAATTTCCTTGTCTAGCCTGATGTTTTTACAACCATGTTAGTTTTGAGCAGGAATAGAATAATAACCTTGGTATATTTAAAGCAAACCGACTATAACGTCCGGCGTAAAGCCAAGCAAACGTTGACGTGAAATTTAAATATTCATTTTGTTGTCTAATCAGTCGAGGGTGTAAATGTTTTCAGGTGAATGAAGGCAGCTCGGTGGTCCTAAGTCACCATGCCATCTCCGTTCGTGATCCGGATACAATCGATGCTAACATTCGCATAAAACTCATCACCCATCCCAAATGGGGCCACCTCGAACTTCGTCCAGAAAACACCAGTTCCGTCGGTTTCGCGGACTTCTCCTTTACGGCTGAAGACCTCAGTGACGGTCGTGTTTATTACATCAATTCCCGTCACCGCGATGGCTTAGAATCCGTTTCTGATATTTTTTCACTTCGTGCCTACGATCAAGAATTCCAGTCGAAAGAAGCTATACCAATCCATGTCTCCATACACCCTGTTAACGACGAAATACCATCTGTGCGATTAGTTGACTACTTCTCTGTACCTTTGAATGGTCGCAGAGTTCTAACACCTTACCTTCTGGCTATCAGCGATCGAGACGTGCCGCGGGACATTCTGCAGATTGCATTTCCACAACTTCCACGCTTCGGACATCTTACAGTTTATTGGCAACATGGGGAGCAGTACACCATCACGGAGTCATCGGCGCCTATCTCAGAGAGTTATCTGGGGATGATGAACCTGGTGTACATTCAAAACTGCAGTGTTGAACTGCCAGCGCGAGACACCTTCACGGTCTCCGTGTCCGACGGGCAACACGTGGTCAAGAAGTCAGCTCACATTCTTTTACGCCAAGAAAATCGATACGGACCAGAGATCAAGGTTGCGGAAGAAGGTGGTCTAGTCATTGAGGGGTTGGCCTGGCGACAGCTGACCACAGCCTTGTCTGTCTCAGACGTGGATACCCTTGCGGAGGACTTGATAATCACCGTTTTGCGAGCTCCCAGTCTGGGACGCCTCGAAAGACTTCAGCGGCAGGAAATTGCGGGGTCGCCGGCCGTGGAAGACTTGCTTGAGATCGCGCTGGATCGATTTGAGGAGGAAATGAGCGGCAATAAACGGGACACTAAAGCCTTGAGAGAAGGCGACAGTTTCACCAAGAGGCAGCTGGACTCTGGACGAATTTAGTAAGATTAGTTGTGTGATTTGCGGATTCTCGTACGTTTAACAAACTTATTTGACTAGTTGATGGCGTCTATTTGGTAAAGCGGGTCCAATAGGGAAACTGATTAGTTGATTGTCTGAGATTCTTCAGTACAAAATACCTAAATTTTACTTGTTTGGACAGGCTTGTGCAACCCCCAAGGATGTTCAACTAAGTCAACATGAAAACTTTCTAATAAGTGACCGACATGATTTTTGTTTAAATTCGCAGCCCCACAACAATGGTCACACAAAATCTTTCCTACACATAAACCACCAGTAAATAGATTGGATTACAAATCCATGCAAAAAAAGCCTTTGGAGTTTGAGGCAATTTTTGCTAATTTGCACAGCTACACCTACACCGGCGAATACACGTCTTCGTATGTTTACGACTCGATAACACTCTCGGCCTCCGACGGTCGATTCGAAGCTGGTCCTATCGACGTACCGATACGGATAAGAGCCACGAAAGGTCGCAAAAATCAGGTGGTTCAGTCTCAGTCTTCGCTTAACGCCGAATTACTTGAAAAAAGCAAAGCCGACTCTGACCCTCTCCTTTCTGATGCCGCTTCAGAGCCCTGGGGTGAGGTTTCAAACATTTTCGTACTTAGTAAGTTTGAATGACGTGAATACGTCGTGATAGTTAAGTGCGTTATTTATGTCATCCGAAACCTGACCTATTCGGCAGTTAAGAATTCACCAGCCAGAGATTGTAGATATTAACTAATGAATGTACTTGAACTCCTAAATGCGTTCTTGCAACGGAAATTTTAACGAATTCCTAACGTTTTCTGTGCCACAATATCTTGTAGATTGAATCGAGTCAAATTCTCCATTTTTGAAAACGCAACATACAACTTCGGCACCACACACGCAGCTGCGACGTCACAGCCAATAGGTGGTTTTAATTTCTGACTTGTTACGCTATCGGTCGCTTTTTGTACAATACATTTCACCACAAATCCAGTGGGTTTCACTTTAGCTTCTAGAATGTCGATTTAGGTTTGAGTTTGTTTGCATCAGAAGGTATTCCAAGACCAGAAGCCCAGCCGAATTTTAAGAAATTTAAAGTAAGGGCGAAATCGGGAACTCGGTGCTGTTAATTGATTTTCATTTCCATCCATCAATTTTTAATGATGTTTAGATTAATGACTTCTGCATTTGAATTAATGTTATAGTCGCAAAAGGGGTATGTTGTGTGCCCGTGCCTGTAGTCTTGAACTACACCGGGGTCACTGAATTAACCCTGGCCCAATTACGCTTCCCTGATACCCGAAATGAAGAAAAAGATCAGAGAGAATGTGATCACAACCATTTACTTCAGAGCCTAACCACGTTGGTGTCGTGTCTTGGGTGGGGTTTGCGCGTGTGTATTTACACCTCGGATGTGTGAGTCGTGCATGCGTTAATATCGAGAACTAGGTGTGAGGATAATCCAATATAAATGTTCGAGCGAATGAGGGGGCAGTTGAGGATCCGCGCGGCTGGCGACATGCTGCGAAAAGAGGAGCCCTGTGTCGAGAGATAGAGTGATCGAATTAAGGGGTGTGAATAAGCACGATTCACAACAGGTCTTGGATATGGTGTGGATTCCCAAAATTAATGTAGAAAAAGCCACGTTGTGCAAAGGAAACTGGGTGATTTCGATTTTGGACAGCCAGAGTAAGCGCAAAAAGCTCTCTCTCTCTCTCTACCCCTGATATCTCTCAAGTGAAACGATACTATCAAAATAGCACTCACTAGAGCTGACGTGTCCTCCATTACGCCTGTAAAACGACTCACTCACTCACTAACTGTCCACAACTTATACATTCAACAAGTCTCACTAATATTTGCTCATTTCTAAACTGACGGCAATGTCATTCGTTGAAAGTGACTCTGACAAATTCCTTCATCAATCTTGGCAAGACTGGACATCCTACATTAATTTGCGTCTTGATTAACGTTCGTGATTAGTCACGCTGTCACGTTAGTTGCCGGTTCACTTTAACCGCAATGCAACACTTCTCCACTCGAAGGTATTGTCATATGCAAGTGGTTTATCGAGTAAAAAACCCTAGCCCTTACGATTGTCTATTTAATAGAAATGAGTTTGACGACTGGCACATTTACGAAGAATGTGGGAAAGTAAGTTGGCTTAGATGTCCTGCATGGTGTGAGCGAGCTTTTCGGAATAGCTGCATGTTGACTTTCCCAACATATCTTACCACAACAAATTGGCGACCCCTACATAGACAGACATTACTCAAATCGATTATTCAGCTAGGAGATGTGACAAATCTTATCCAAATGAGCAGTCGATCAACAATCCAATCCTATGACGCATTCAAATGCACTTAATCGGTTCGAGGCTGTGGCACACCGCTTGAACCAAAAATAACTCTGTCAGCAGACATCCACCTAACCATCAGTGATTTGCTTGTTAGCACTCACATAAGCGTCATGGGTGGATTTCATGCCTCATCCTGGTGTCACCATACCACTGGCGGTGGGCTGCACCGACTTACTCCTACCAATTGCTCTTCACCCCCATCTTCCCAAACTTCCCACATTTTGGATACAATAAAAGGCAACCCAAGAGTGGTGTCTGGAATTGCAAAAAAAGCATTCGGTCTATCTTATGCCCGGTGATCGTTATATGCACCGATATCCCGTTTGACCGTGAACGTTTATAGAGGAACGTTCAACTAACCATTCTGCGCCTACTTCACCGCAAATTCCTTAAAAATTCCCACCTGCTGGGGCCAGACCTTAAAGTTAAAAGATGATTTTATTTGTTTTTTACTCATACATTATTTCGTTCTTGGCTTAATTGTTGAGCTACACAGCCACTTCTGTCTGCTAATCGGCCTTAGGCATAAACGTCAAATCAACTTTTGTCGGCATCAGTGCCATGTGATCCTTATAACGCCTTCCTTTCAAAGACCACGATTCGACACATGGTAGAACACAGGATCTGAACAAAAGTGTCCAGATAAGGCCCGAATACGTCGGCCTTCCCCAACCAGATGAGCCACCACCAAGCACAAATTTGAACACCTACTACTTCTCGTCCAACGTAAACAAAATGTCTGTACTTTCCAAGTTGTGTTTGATACCAACACACTATCTAATGCCCAAAAAACTGTCTGGATTAGCATAATAATTAAAGGAATATTCTTCGAGTTTCTGAACCCGTAACAATGCATTTTTGCGTTTGGAACTCAACTTAGGTATCCCAGTCTTTCATTCGTCAAGTGCTAATTAGACTAAACCTGGATTCTTCTTTACCAGGATGGTTTTAAGAAAGCATCAAAACACATTGTTTCTGCTAATCGACGTTGCAGTGACCACGATTTGCTACGCAACTCGTCAAAGAGTGTAGGACTTGGAATTCCATGACTTCGTAATGTTTGAAACCAGTCCCAGCTTTACTGATTTAAAAGTGAACGAATTTTCGGAAATCAACATGCCCAGATATTTATGGAGTCTAACCAGTTTGAACAGTCTTTTTTACCTCATGTAGCTACAACCTACTCACTGGTGCAGTGTAAGGGTAGGTCCACCGCTCAGGTGATAGAGACGAAACACGGCAGGCTTCTACATTTGTAAAAGAAACGGTAAC